CCTTGATTTTCGAGGCGCTATAAGATACATTTTATCAAGCCATCACGACTCCGCCACAGCCTTCTGGAGGAGCGCCATCGAGAGATTCTGCCACGCGACCGTGAGTGGGTACCTGAGTTCAGCGAGATAGTTGATTTCTCCGCCACTGTAGACCACCCTGTTGAGCTCCGCCCGAACCGGGTAATTGAGGGGGTTTAGGTCAGGTGACCTACTTAGATATTCCATCTTCTTCAGGTACTCAACGTCCTTCCATTCCAAGTAGGCGAGAGTTTTTCCAACGCCCTTCGATTCCACGTGGTGTCACCCAATCCTGTAGCAGTACAAAGTTTCCAAGAAGGGTACGACATGTGGGGAGGATATTCTTCTCGAGTTGCTCGATGTAACCGCCAGCGCTCACCTTCAGTCAAATATCGGTTTTTCCATTCCAGTACGATGATGTCCTAGACCGTAGCGACGTTGTCGGAGCTGCTCGATGTTGGAGATCTTCCATTTCGAGAGTACTGGTCTTCAGGTAGCTATCCATATATGACTCCATGCTAGAGCTTATGGCAAGCTGTTTGGAGATGACATGATATTCCCAAAGGTCTCTCAGTCAGGCTGCGCTGGAGATCGACGGTCAGGTGTTTGGTGTACATGAAGTGAATGGGGAAAGGCCAGCTCCTGCTTATCAAGGAACATCTTGGGTATCTTCTGCCCTGGTACTCCACGTCCTCTGTCTGGGCTGCAAAAACTTTGGTGGTATGTGACTCGGTCGAAGTGACCATTTTTGACTAACCCCTATTCCAAAAAAATCCAAATATGAAGGACCTCTCCAGTGGCGTTGCGGAAGCACTTATAGGTCAGTTACAGTGGATCAAGGCATTGAAAACACTATTATTAAATATTTTCCAGCTTCTCTCTTCTTGTAACCTCGGCATGTTAGTTTTCAATAATTCAGTGTGTTATATTGTGCCTCACGAGGTTTTTAGGTGGAACTATTTATTTAACGGCCTGACGTTTCGACTAATCGTCTTCTTCAGAGGCCTAAAAGTGTTTCGAGGTTAAGAGATGTGCACTACCCCGCCAAGCGCCTAATCCACCCAGCATTTCCGATGACATAGTGAAACTCAACCGAGAATCTCACACAACAGAACACGAAGGCGCTCACGTTTGGGAAATCCGCTATTCCATAAGTCAACCAGTAGCGAATGAGACTCACTACATATAGCGTCTCCTTATACGTATCGAAACGCCGAGACGCACGTAGCACTGGTGACTTTATAGCTCGCAATACGGAATGAACGACAGGAGGTCATTGGAAATTGACGGACGCTCGTCTCGGTTGTTCATGCGAGGATTTCTGACAGAAATCCAAAACGCCTCTAATGCCTTCCTAGCCGCAATATCCGTCTCCTGCGCCAATATTGTGCACTTTATCGCAAAGTTGTCGCCGTTATGCACCTCCGCTTTATGCTTCCCAAGCGCTGTCGTAAGATTACCGCGCCTCATGCTGGCTAGATGTTCTTTGATACGTTTAGCGAGCGGTCTTCCTGTTTCTCCGATATATGTCGTTCATTCCGTATGTTCCGTATTGTGAGCTATAATGTCACCAGGCTACGTGTGTATAAGGAAACGCTATATGTAGTGAGTCTCATTCGCTACTGGTTGACTTATGGAATAGCGGATTTCCGCGTCTACGGTGGAACAAAGGTGAGCGCCTTCGTGTTCTGTTGTGTGAGATTCTCGGTTGAGTTTCACTATGTCATCGGAAATGCTGGGGTGGATTAGGCGCTTGGCGGGGTAGTGCACATCTCTTAACCTCGAAACACTTTTAGGCCTCTGAAGAAGACGATTAGTCGAAACGTCAGGCCGTTAAATAAATAGTTCCACCTAAAAACCTCGTGAGGCACAATATAACACACTGAATTATTGAAAACTAACATGCCGAGGTTACAAGAAGAGAGAAGCTGGAAAATATTTAATAATAGTGTTTTCAATGCCTTGATCCACTGTAACTGACCTATAAGTGCTTCCGCAACGCCACTGGAGAGGTCCTTCATATTTGGATTTTTTTGG